TTGATCACTGTACTTGAGCATAATTTGTTCCTTTATAGCACAATCTATGACATATTTAATGCATTTAAATAATCCCCCCCAGGTGGTAATATGTTTGATGTTGGCTAAATGCATTTCTGCTAGTTTCTCTGAAACTGAAGCTACCTACTTTCATATTAATCATATTTCACGCACATTTGAGGAAAAGTAAATTCTGTTTGTGCTGACAGATCTTTGATAGCAAATGGCACCTTAAAATGTTTCTAATTTAGTTACAGGCTTGGATCAATTAGACATTTTGATATTTTTTTTCAGGAATATTTTTAATATTTTCTAACGCTGCAAGAAGGCGACTAAATATAGGACGGACATCGAACGGTGTTGAAAAGCTGATTATCTGTTTTCACAAATGAAATGTTTACAGAAAAACACAGATTTGTGATGCAGTTTATTGCCATATTTAGGCTAAAGTTCCTTGAAAGACATGATGTGGAAAAGAGCAGGCTATAAATGTATGCTTTGGGAATAAACTAGCTTGCATCCTTGAGTTTTTTGCTAGATGAGGATTTTGTTTGTTGGGATGGAGTCCACCTTGATTGGGATAAGCTGTTTTACAGCCATACTTTGACTGATATTCCCATTTTATGAAATGATAAACGAAGAGCTGAGCAACAAATGAGATAAGAGTTGAACAGAAATGTGCAGATTTGTTAAGATTTTTAAAAATTGATGATTATTACGTGTTTGCTTTTGAATGTTTTCTGCTGTTCCCGTTATAATGGAATAACAGAGTTAAGAAGGGACCTTGGAGGTTTTCTAGTCCAACCCCCTGCTCAGGCCCATTGCAGACAAATGGATGTCCAATGTCTTCTTAAAAACCTGCAGTAGCGGACTACACACAACTTCTGGAAGCAAGTTGTTCTGCTGGTTAATTGTTCTCACAAAACCCTCCTTAGTTCTAGGTTGGTTCTGTCTTGGATAATCTTCCATCCGTTGCTGCTTGCTCTGCCTTCAGGTACTTTCAACCTACGTTGAAAACTTCCTATTCCTACCTCTTCCCCCCAATTTAAACTTTTATTTCCCTCTGTCAATCATTACCAGGGCAAATAACACTGGCTGTTAATTTGCATATACAGTAAAACAATTGTCCTTCCATCATCCAGCAGCAGCAGCTATATTTGGAGGCCGTTTGCTGCCTGCAGGAAGGATGGGGAGGCGTTGCCGCATAATGTTCAGCTTCTCACAATTGTCCCATTCTGAAAACGGCCATGTTGGATGGAGTAACTCGATGGGACACTGTGGGCTTCTCTGTTGACTAAAAGGGCAGTGGGGGGGGGGGGGGAAGGAAGGCCTCCGTTCCAAGAGGCATTATTATATTTGTCTCTTCCACTGGCGGAAGCCCGTTAGCTGCCCTGTGACAGCTTTGCTCTGGGCATGACTCTGATGAATGGAGCGTGTGGGCTGGTTACAGGAAGCCGCTGGGGATTGGCGGCCTGTAAGAGGGCCTGCCTTCCGTCGGTCCTCTGGGTTCGTAGAATCCCATTCCGTTCGCCTGGCTGAAAACCGAACGGTTGCAGGAAGTGGGCCTGGCTGGTCTAGGGAAGAGAAGGACCAGGGGAGGCAGGAGAGCAGCCTTCCAACGTTTGAGGGGCTGCCCCATAGAGGAGGAGGAAGGGGGTCAAGCTATTCTCCAAGGCACCCCGAAGGCCAGGCAAGGAATAAAGGGTGGAAACTGAAGAAGGAGAGAGATTCAACCTGGAAATAAGGAGAAACTTTCTGACAGTGAGAACAATCAACCCATAGAACAGAAGCTGCCCTCGGAAGTTGTGGGAGCGCCATCACTTGAGACTTTCAAGAAGAGATTGGACTGCCCTCTGTCAGAAATGGTGTAGGGTCTCCCGCTTGGGCAGGGGGTTGGACTAGATGACCTACTAGGTCCCTTCCAGCTAACACTAAGCAAAGTGTAAACTTCAAAGGACGTTGCCTTAAAAATGATCCGTGACTCCAACTGGGCTCTCAAGTGAACGTGGACAAGGCTGTCAGGGGAAGAAAGGGGTGAATTTCTCTCCCCTCCTGCCCCAATGTTGCTTGGTCTCTGTGCAGGGGGTCCTGGACTTACAGTTGTTCATTTAGTGACTGTCCAAAAAATAAATCAGCACTTAAAAAAAGTGGCTTATGGCCGTTTTTCACATTTAACGATGGTTGCAGCATATCGCCCTGGTCACGTGATCAAAATTCGGGCGCTTGGCAACTGACTCATCTTTACGACAGTCGCAGTGTCCTGGGGTCACGTGATCCCCTTGTTGCGACTTTCTGACAAGCAAAGTCAATGGGGAAGCTGGGTTCACTTAACAACCATTATCAGCTGCAGCGATTCACTTAACAACTGAGGCAATAAATAAAATAGGGAGAAACTCACTTAACAACCGTCTTGCTTAGCAACAGAAATTTGGGGCTCAATTGGGGTCGTAAGTCGAGGACTACCTGTAGTGTAAAGGGACAGTTTACCGCGTGTAATTTTAAGCCCAAATTAAACCCTGGGAAATTGCATTCACGGTTTCTTGTATAATAAGTATTTTGGATTGCCACTGAAGGGGTCGGTTGCCTGTATCTTGCCTGCTTGTGAATCAGATGTGTATCTATCAACAAAGAGGCTTGTTTTTGGCACAGAAACAGGGCTATTGTAATAGCTCACCTGCTGTTCTCAGTACACAACGCCTGCCTAGTTTTGTGTGTGACAAGGATCGAGTGTAAAACAGGATTTTATAACATAAACATGGAAGTGGATTGCAGGAAATATTACTAAACATTGCTTTCTCACTGCACCAAAGCTGAGAGTAGCGCTCGCAATCGATGGTATGATTGGAAGGAAGCTACTTCTGGCTCGGATTTGATGGCCATTTTTGTTCCTCCTGGGTGTCTCTAAGACCCCCTGTATTTCTTGCTGGCTCCGGTGAAGCCCCTCTTCCAAAACCTGCTTGTTTGCTATGTACAGCTGTGCATAATCTGGTCTTTCAGAAAACCCCTGCCTCATTTTAACTCCTTACATGGGTGGGCATCTCTGCCTATCAACCAGGGATTAATCGCATAATCGCAACTGGCAGTCAGGAGTTTTTAAAGCCATTGGGGATCTCTGTCCTCTGAATCAACCTTGCAGACTCTCCTATTTGTAATGTACCTTCCTTGAATGGGAGATAGGCAGCCCTTTGCATTTCTCTCGAGGGGACTTCTTGGAAAGCAGCAATCCAAATTTGAAGATGCTAAGACGCTGAATTGCTCACCAACAGGTAGATTGATGAAAACCTTCCTGCAGGTACCAAGAAGGATCATGTGTGTCCTTCTCCTGGTTTCTTATTAGCTTTATGGTGGCTTCCAGATTTCCATGCCAGCTTTCTTTCCACTCAATGCCCTCTCGTTTAAAAAAAAGAAAGCCATTAAACTTTCTTGAACTTAAAATAACCAGGCACTCTGAGATTTATGCGTCAGGCTTTCTCGTAAGCTTGTAATCTTTACTTCAGGCCCAGTAAGATAAACCAAAACAGAAGAAGCCGGGGAAGAGAGGCTGTTTGCTAAACACCAGGGGAGATTCTGGCACAGGCAAGTTTTAAGCCAGAGCCAGGTTGTTTAATTGCTTTCTTTGGGAAGAAAATGCTCCCATATTGAAGTAGATACAGGCAATCCTTGATTTATGATCACAGTCGAGCCCCAAACCTCTGTTGCTGTAAGCAAGGCCATTGTTCAGTGTGTTTCCCCCATCTTATGACCTTTTGCCACAGTTATTAGAGAATCATGCGGTCGTTAAGTGAGAATCTGGCTTACTCCATTGATTTTGCTGTTGGAAGCCGTCTGGGAAGGTTACAAATGGTGATTACATGACCCTTTGATCACGTGACCACGGGGAACGCAGCAGTGGTCGTAAGTGTGAAAAACGGTCATGTCTCTTCAGTGCCGTTGTAACTTGGAATGGTCACTAAACGAACTGTTGTAAGTCGAGGACAGCCTGTAATCACAGAGGCGCTGTCAAAGTAGTTGGTGGACCTATATTTTTAGCACTTGTGCTTTGGATTTGGATACTTACAGTGACCAGGTGTTTCATTCATACCACCCTCTCCTCATCCTCAGATTGCAAAAAAAAAAACCGCCTTAGCCATTCGTTGCAAGTCATTTATAGCCCCTTGTAATTAGGAAATATAATTTCAACCCATTTCTGCAGGGGGGTAAGGTTAGTACAGGGTTCCAGTAATTATACTTTTAGCTATCATTATCTCCCCACAGCATCTCGGAGCAATTAAAATCCACCACAAAGGTATCCTATAAACAGTTACCGCCACACGGTTATACGTGATAGAGACAGCAGAAAGGCAGAATGTTACTCATCACCACCGTTTCTACCTCAGTTTGTTTTTCTAGTTATAACCTCCGCTGCTGGTTCATTTGCTCTGGAGTTCTTTCTGCCTTTTTAGCAATTTAAAAGAGCTTTAGTAGTGGGAAGGAACCAAGGGACACTAATGATCGAACTGCTGGCAGTGGGCAGAGTTAGCCTGCCATACTCATTTCCCTTGAATGCAGTGCAAATTTAATACAAAAATCACACTTTCCTCGGTGTTTTGGGGTCTTTGGTGCTCCCTGAGCTGTGTTGTTTCCTTGCAGACCTTTCATTACCCAATTAAGTAACCTTATCAGTGCTGGAAGGGAGGAGAAGGACTGTGGGGTCCTTGGTGCTTTGTGAGCGTGGTTGTTTCCTTGCAGATGTTTTATGACCCAGATTATCATTTCTAGAAGGAGGGGGGGAGGACGAAATGACTGCGGGGGTTTGGTGCTCTTTGAGCTCGGTTGCTTTCTTGCAGATGTTTCATGACCAAAATAGGTAACCTCATCAATGCTGGTGAAATCATGACTTGCCTAGACTCCGTCCCTGTCTAGGCTTTCCGTCTTCCCTCAAGTATTTCTTCCCTGGTAATGCAGTCTTCGGAGTTGCACTTTTCCTCTGCTCTAACCTTTTCTCTCTCCCTCCCCACCAGGGTTGAGTACCGAAGGGATCTACCGGGTGAGTGGAAACAAGTCCGAGATGGAAAGCTTGCAGCGGCAATTTGACCAAGGTAGGACCTGCAGCCTCTGCGCTTTTCCCTGAGAAGGGAGAAGCCGTTCAGGAACGCAGTCACGGTTTGCGAGGAGGCGGATTATGGGGGGTGGGGTGGGGGGGACTCTTGATTTTAACTTTTTTCTGGAAGGCCAACCAACCTGGAGACAGAGGCACCTCCAATGGGAGGCCATTCCAGAGGGCCCCCTTGCGGAAGCCCCCTTGCGGAAAAACACAGCTCCCGAGTCGGTCCCCCCCCCACCAAAGTGGGGGACAACCTGCTGCTTTTCCCAGCAGGATCATAACACACAGGTAGTCCTTGACTTACGACCAAGTTGAGCCCACAATTTCTGTGGCTAGGTGAGCTTTGCCCCCGTTTTATTACCTCGGTTGCTGCAGTTGTTAAGCGAGTCATTGCAGCTGTTCAGTTAACAACACCGTTGTTAAGGGAATCCGGCTTCCCCGTTGACTTTGCTCGTCAGAAGGTCACATAAGGCGACCACGTGACCCCGGGAGCCCTGCGACGATCATAAATATGAGCCAGTTGCTGAATTTTGATGACATGACCAAGGGGAGGTTCCAGTGGACGTAAATGTGAAAAATAGTCATAAGTCATTTTTTTCCAGTGAGATAACTTTGAACAGTCATTAAATGAACCCTTTGTAAGTCAGGGACTGCCTGTAATTGGAGACATTCTGGAGAGATTCTGGTCTTAAGAGATAGCAATAGCCCTTAGACTTATATACCACTTCACAGTGCTTCAAAGCCCTCTCTAAGCGGTTTACAGAGTCAGCCTCTTGCCCCCAACCATCTGGCTCCTCATTTGACCCACCTCGGAAGGACGGGAGGCTGAGTCAACCTTGAGCTGGTCAAGATCGAACTGCTGGCAGTGGGCAGAGTTAGCCTGCAATACTGCATTCTAACAGGAAGGAAGGGAGGGAGGGAAGGAAGGAAGGAAGGTTGGTTGGTTGGTTGGTTGGTTGGTTGGTTGGTTGGTTGGTTGGTTTACAGAGTCAGCCTCTTGCCCCCAACAATCTGGGTCCTCATTTTTACCTACCTCGGAAGGCTGAGTCAACCTTGAGCCTGGTGGGATTCGATCTGGCAAATTGCAGGCAGCCGGCAGTCAGCAGAAGTACCCTGCAATACTGCACTCTAACCACTGTGCCACCTATATCTTCCTTTCGATAAAAAAAACTTTTAATTTTTTATTAAATTCCCGCTGCATTCCACTCCCAAAGTGTCAAGGGAAATGAGTGGCCACTAGGATCTCTCTTTTAAATTGTCCAGCCTTTGAAGTAACTTTTTAGCTGGGGCTTTCCCCTCTCTCTCCTCCCTCCCCCCCCACTTTTGCTGGTCTTTCCTTTGCCGTTCTTTGATAGGCAGGCCTAACCCCTGAACCCTCTCCTGGCAGATCATAACCTGGACTTTGCTGAGAAGGACTTCACTGTGAACACTGTGGCTGGAGCCATGAAGAGCTTCTTCTCCGAGCTGCCAGATCCTCTGGTACCCTACAACATGCAGATTGAGCTGGTGGAGGCCCACAGTGAGTAGGATGTGCCCACCCGCCACCAAGGCTGCCGGCCTCTCTTAGAACGCCAAAGGGAGAAAAACCCCTCGTGCTCATTTTTGAAACAGAACCCACAAAGAGGACTAGCGACCCTTGCTTGTGAGCTGTTGAATTTCCAAATTTGCGTGTGTCCGGGAATGTTGTTGCCGTAGAGCAGAGGTCTCCAAACTTGGCAACATTAAGACTGGTGGCCTTCAACTCCCGGAATTCCCCAGCCAGCTATGCCTGCTTTTCTCTCTCTCTTAATCTCCTAAGGTGGAGAGAGATTGCAGAGGAAGGGATCGCAAGAGGGTTAAGCTATGCCGGCTGGGGGATTCTGGGAGTTGAAGTCCATAAGTCTTAAAGTGGCCCAGTTTGGGGAGCCCTGCCGTAGAGCGATGGGATTCCGTGGCTCCACCTAGAGTTAGAAACGAAAACAGGATGGAAAACGGACAGCTGAAGCAGCATCGTCTAAGCTTTCCCCTGCTTTCTTTATTATCTTGGTTAATCCACTCAGAATTCTGGGAGTTGAAGTCCCACCACCCGTCTTAAAGAAGCCAAGATTGAGAATCCCTGGTCTGGGAAGCCTCCGTTCTGTTTCCAAGCTGCCCTGCCAATGTTGAAGTCCAAACAGACCCCGCACCCACCCTTTTTTCCCCCTTTGAAGCCAGCAATGCCGCTGTTGACAATCCTGAATTTCACTGCAGATGCACTTAAAATTGTCGGAGCTCCAAATGGCTCTTTAAATATTTAACTGCGTGGTCTATCTAAGTGGAGTTTGGCGTCTCTGCTTTAGAAGCCGTCTCGGAGGGACTCCTGACAAAAGATGCCTTTTGCTTTGGTTGCTCTAAAAGATGCCTTTTTTTTTTTTAATTAAAAAAAATTAAATAAAGCTCAGATCGCTATCCTCTCCAGTGACGGATTCACCCAGTGACGTTGGTGCATTTTTAAAAGAAAAAACTGCAGAACAGAAGCAAAGGCTCCCGTTGACTTAAGGAGCTGGCTTCTTCGGCACGCAGCCTCCGGTAATATTTATTGTGGCTGCTGCCACAGACATCTTTAATGCAACCCTTTCAAACAAAAATCGGAGGAGTGTGGTTTAACTTTATTACCGTCAACATCTTGGGCTATTATTGTAAGGTGTTAGCAAGCACAAATTAAAAAGCAGAGATGTGATAAGTGGAAGAATTCACCATCCTGCTATCAGTGCAGATAATAAAATACCAAGGAACCTAACTATTAAAGCTAATTAACAGGGTCATAAAGGGTTGGTAAATAAAAATGCAAACGTGTGTGTGCTAATACTAGGCTGCTAAGCAAAGTGCTGTGTTTGTGTGTGTGTCTGTGTGTTTTGTGTTTCTTCCATTCCATTGTGTCTTTATTTCTGGAGACCGCCTTGGCTAGTCCCTGCAGTTTTCTTGGCAAGGTTTTCCAGAAATGGGCTGCCATTGCCGCCTCCTTAGGGCTGAAAGAAAATGACCGGCCCAACATCACCCAGCTGGTTTTGTGCTGAAGGCCGGACTATGCCTGGCTCAAAGCATTACATCACTCCCAACAAAGCAACGTGCCTCCTGCAGAAGCGGTGAATTCTCCAACACTGGAAGTTTTTAAGAAGAGACTGGACAGGCATTTGTCTGAAATGGGACAGGGTTTCCTGGCTAAGCAGGGGGTTGGACTAGAAGACCTCCAAGGTCCCTTCCAACTCCATGATTCTATATCGTATTTCTATATTATACCTGGATTTTTCTGGGAGCGCTTGGGAAGACTTGGTTACTCCAAGGGCCGCTGAAAAGCTAATTTCCCCCTTCCTGGTTTGAATAGAACGGATTTCATACAATGTGAGGCTTTTACCTCGGAGTTAGCCCAGGTCCACGTCAGTTCAGTCCTGCCAGCAATTTGAGGTTCTTGGGATTTGGGGAAGGAAAATGCAAAGAAAGTTGTCTGATAAATGTAGGTTTATAGTACCTGATACCCCTTGCAGTAGTGTTTTGGGAAGGAAATTAATTTTAACGGCCGTATGTTCCTTGTAACCTTCAGCAGATTCGGCCGAATAAACTTCTCGGGTGTTTTGATTGCCGTTTGTAAGGCTTTCGTATTACCAGCTGGCCGCCTTAGCTTGCCCCCTTCCCTAGAACAACTTTGTAGGGGCAACCCTGGATGATATTTGGGGGGGGGGGGGCGTGGGAGAGGCCGGGGTAAGCAGGTCTATTCCCTGAGCAGGAGCTGCTCGTGGCTCCCCCTGGATGGAGCTCCGAGGGCGAAAAGCACCCCTCCACCTTCTTCCTTCTCTCCACTTCCACAGAGATCAACGACCGAGAGCAGAAGCTGCACGCGCTCAAAGAGGTGCTGAAGAAGTTCCCCAAGGAGAATTACGAGGTCTTCAAATATGTCATCTCTCACCTGAACAAGTAAGCGGCCCCCGGCTCCTCCTGCCCCTCCTCCTGAGGTGGGCTGGAGCCCTTGCCCACACACACCCACACCCCCACGCCCCGGATGTGCCTGGAAAGCTAAACCCGCCGGTCGTTTGACGAACCCCGTTGGGACAGCAGAAGCTCCCCAGGGGGAACCCCTTCCCCGACATTCCTCCTGGCTAAGCCAGGGTCCTTGCCCCTTCTTCTTCCCAGGGCCGTTGTAACTTCAAACGGTCACTAAGTGAACGATCGTCAGTCAGGAACCGCCCGCAGTTGGGACTCTGTGCGGGTTGCTCTGGGGAAGCGTCAGGCCCCCCTCGGGGAGGGGTGGGGGGCGAGGGGGCGGCTCTCGCCTCCCGTGCCTGACCCCCCCCCCCGCTCCCCCCTCCCGCCCTTTGTGCTTGCAGAGTGAGCCACAACAACCGCACCAACCTGATGACCAGCGAGAACCTCTCCATCTGCTTCTGGCCCACCCTGATGCGGCCCGACTTCAGCACCATGGACGCCCTGACCGCCACCCGCATCTACCAGACAATCATCGAGCTCTTCATCCAGCAGGGCTCGTTCTTCTTCTACAGCCGGCCCATCGCCGAGCCCCCCGGCGCCACCCCCAGCTCCCCCTCGGCCCTGCCCGTCAGCACCCCCTTCCTCCCCTCCACGCCCGTCCTCGCCCAGCCCTCCCCGCCCCAGACGCCGCCCCCCTCGCCCCAGTCCCCACTCCAGTCCCTGCTCCCGCCGCCCCTCCAGGCCGAGCAGCACACACTGTGAACCCAGGCCGGGTCAGGAAGCAAGGCCCCTCCGTTGTGACACGCAGAGGACGAGACGACCCGCCCCGGCGCCTCCGGGCCCGCCCTTCGCCTCCGACGCTCGGCTCCAGACTTCTTGTTGGGCTGAGCCACGGCGGACTGGCGCCTTGGACCCCTCTGGAGCCTGGCTCGGCCTCGGGGCTGGCCTGGGAGGGCACCCTGGGGGTCCCAAGCAGGAGGAGGCGGCTGGAGAGTCCGGAGCCCCCTTTCCACCGGGATCTCCTCGGACCCGAGCCAGAGAGGCCGGTTTAGCCCGGTTGGGGCGCTGGACCCGCTGCCTCCTCGGCCTCCCTCCGTGCGTGGACAGAGAGGACTGTGAAGCCAGAGGGGGCCTCCTCCCCTCCCTCCCCCTCTCCCCCCCTCCCCAAGCACATTCCAGGAAGGACGGAGGCCTCTCCTGCAGTGCCGGACATCTCACCTCAGCCCCGTTCCTTTAGACCCCTTGGCTGCACCCCCAGGACAGCGGCTCAGAAGGAGAGCTGGGCCCACGAAGGCTGCCTGTCACGTCCTCTTGGCCGGAACGTCTCGGACACGGGGGGGGGGGGGGGGAGGAAGAGTGCGGCGCGTTGGTGGCTGGCAGTTTCCTGGGCAGGGCAGCAGGGCCACCTCCCTGGCCGTGTTGTCTCCCTAGGGCAAATCACGGCATCTCTCTCACCACCCTCTTCCCCTCCCTCCCTCCCTCCCTCCCTCGCCCTGGAAGGATATTGGTGTTAGCACTTAGCGGAGGAGGGGAGGGGAGGAGGGGAGGGGGAGGCACATGTCCATTTGCAAAGAAGGTTCGCTGTTTGGTGGCTGGGCCTGGGGTTGGACTCCTTTGGAACACTACGTTGACAGAAACACTGTTGTTCGTTGTGTGCGTGTGTGTGTGTGTGCCTGCTTGGGAGCAAGTGGGCAGAAGCATTGCTGGCGAAGAGGGAGCAGGGCGAACCTGCAGGCCTCCCTTTCTTTCACCCTCCCCCCACCCCGTCCCCTCCCTGGAAAGGGGGGCAAAACAAGGCGAGTGACGAGGCCGTTTCGCTTGAGCCTCTGGGAGGAGCCGAACCCACCGGGGGGCCCTGGAAGAAAAGGTGGGGGAAGACAGACCAAGGGTTTCCTCCTGGCCACCTTGGCGCAAGTGCCACCCTTGGGGCAGTTCAGGGGTTGCTGCCCCGCCAGGAAGATGGCGGCCCTGCCCTGGGAGGAGAGAGAGGCTGAGGGTGGGCAACGCTTCAGACCCCTGGGCAGAGCCGGTGAGGCCGGAGGGACAACGCTGAGTTCCTGCCATGGTGCCCTTTTCCCTGCCACCCCTTGGCACCTCCCCAAGCGGCAGCTGTTCCATGCGTGGCGGGCCCCTGGGGGAAGGGACTGGCGGTCCAGGGGCATCTCCTCTCTTGCCCTGGAAGCCTTCAGCGGGTCCTGCCAGCCCTTCCCCCTGGGGGCATCTCCCTAGCCCGAGGTTGGCACCAAGCCGGTGGGGGGGGGGCTCTGATTTGGGAGGAGCTGCAGGCGAACCACTCGGGAGGACCCGGTCAGCGTTTCTGTGCCAGGGATGTGAAGGGGGTTGATTGTGTATCAGCAGTGCCTGGTAAACTGTGTGTGTGTGTGTGTGTGTGAGGGCGTGCGAGGGGCATAGTTGTTCTCATCAACAGGGCAGTTTTAACTGGAGTTTCCACGGTACCACTGGGGGGGGGGGGGGGCGGGGGAGCGATCCCTAGGCCATCCTCGCTATCTTTTCGCACTTTAAAATGAAACCTGTGGTCTGTTGCTGTTTTTAAGCCTTTTCAAGGATACGTGTGTTACATTCATTGGGTGGGAGTGAAATTCCGGTCCTTCTCCCACCCACCCCCCCTCCCCCCCCCGCCCCCCCCCCCCCCCCCAAAGTCTCTTCCACTTCCATTCTGCTTCCTGGTATCCAGAGCCCCCCCCCTCCTCCTCCTCCTCTTCCTCCTCTCTTCCACAATCTCTCTCTCTCTCTCTCTCTCTCTCTCTCTTATAAATAAGCTGAATTATGTACTCCTTATTTTAGAACCACATTTAAAAGTTGTATCTGTGTCAGAATCGTGTGCTTTGAAAGCCCCTCTCTGCAAGCATTCCTCCCTCCTTTTTATAACTCTCACCGCCTTTTGTGTAAATAATGGGAAACGGTTTTGTTTTTGAGAGGACTCTGACAAGGACACCCGGCCCACCTCACCTCCACTCTGCCTGCGCCAGGTGGAAAAAAACAAAACGTGTCAGGAGGCCGAGAAGGCTGGGGAAAAATCTCCCTTCTGACCACCTGAGCTGCAGCCTTTGGGCTGTGGATCCCAATGGGGGGCTGACGTGGGCGGCGGGTGGGGGCTTTCCCCCCTGGGACGGGGCTTCCCTTCGGCACACGTCCAGTGCCGCTGTGCCTTCTTTGCAGGTGTGCTAAAAACAACCACGACCGCCACCCTCCCTGAATTGCTATAGCGGCTCTCGAAATCCGGGCCGGCCGCCTCCCTTCTTCGGCCCTTCGGCCCCTGGCCTCAACACCCAGCCCAGAGCTGGAACGTTGGCAGGAGAGAGGAAGGACCGGAGGCCGCTTGGCCCACGCACAGGTCAGCCTGTGGCCTTAAGATCACGGGAGGGGGGGGGAGGCGGGCCAGTTTCCCAGGTGTCTGAACCACCATCGGAGCATCCCTGCAGGGTGGCAGTTGCTTCGTTCGCCCGTCGCCATTCCCTCTTCTTGGACCAGTTGGCATTGCACGGCCCTTGAACTGGGCCAGGTGCCTCCAAACAACCTACCTACCTTTTCAATTTCCGGGGCCTTTTAAAAAAAAATATATTCTTTTGGCCACACCTGTCTCGCCCAGACAGGTCCTTTCCCCCTATCCAGAGGACGGGTGGCCATCAAACAGGGCTGCCGGCTGCCACTGAAACCGTCTTTTCTTGGTCCCTCTTCTGCTGGGCGCTGCTGAGGGCCGGCTTTTCCATCGCCCTCCCGTCCCCAAGACGGCGGCAGTGCCTGCGCATTCAGCCGTGCGCCCTGGACAAGTTCCCCTTGCGCTTTTACGGACACGCCCCGCCACCGCGGCCTTGCTCCCTTCGAGCGCACGGCTGGGCTCGGTTCTTTGGCAGCAAGGGGCACCCAGCAGGCGGGTGGGTCTCCATTCCTTACGAAGGCCCCTCGTTTTTCCCCTTGCCCCGTGGAAAACCAGAAGCGCCTTGAGGCTCTCCAGCTCTGGGTCACCCCCCACCCCTGCCCCCCAAATGCAGGCTCTCGGGCTGGGCTACGTTTTGAAAGCCTTGTCTCAAAAAAGGAAAGTTCTGAATCATTCGCCCTTCGGTGACGTAGCAGTTCAAAGTCTCCCTTCGCTTTTCTTTTAATTTTCCTAGAAGTGGATCACTTCTGACTTTGGTTCCCCCCCCCCCTTTTTTTTTTTTTGTTCTTTAACCCCCCGGTGGCTTCCCCTACCCCAGAAGGTCAGTTTGTCCCCAGCTCATCTGGTCAGTATTCTTCAGGG